GAGAGAGAGAGAGAGAGAGAGAGAGAGAGAGAGAGAGAGAGAGAGAGAGAGAGAGAGAGAGACACACACACACACAGCAAAACAAAAATAATAATAAAAATTGTGTTTTTTTTTTTTAACACATCTGAAAATGGCATTTATGACCCCCCCCCAAATTTCACTTTTTTTTTTATGTGGCTTCCGGAGGGGCACGCCATGCGCAGGTTTGGGTGTGCGGCTCCTGCGCGTGGCGCGGCCGCAAGCGGCCACAAAGTTTCTCGGCCGCGTGGCCTAGGCCGGGGTAGCGGCCAGCCTCCTCGGCCACGGACGAGGCCCCAGGATCGGCGGTCGTGGGGCTCACGTAGTCTCACGGTGAAGGGTATAGTGCTCTAATGGCTAAGCCACCAGTGAGCAAGCAGTGATCGGCACTACTGGACCGAAATGGCTGGTGGTGCGAGCCAAAAATGAGGCCATGCCTGTTCTTTTTTTTGGACGTGTAGGGTGATTTGAGACTCTGCATTTATTGCTGGGAAAGGTACTGGTAGTCCAGCTAATGCAAGGACCCAGCATTTTGCCAGTATTTGCACCTCCCTTTTCATGGTCCCTTATCCCCCATCGAGTAGCAGCAGTGTGTAAGGCCAACACTCTCCCACCCACCACACACCACCCACTCACGCTCACACTCACACCCACGTGGGCCAAAGACCCTACTAATACCGATCAGAGGTATCAAGTGGACTATTACAGCTGGTTGGCACCAAGTGTGCTGCAGACTGTGATTGGGCAATGGGCTCGAATTTACAACCTCCCGAATGCCACTTGCATGCCTAACCAACGGAGCTTTTTTTTCTTTTTTCCCCATTTTCTCTTTTTGCCAAAAACGAAAAGAACTGCACAAGGAAAGCACTACACGATGCACCACCGCGACTCTTCTATATGTTTGGCCTGTGCCGGCAGCCATTTTGGTTGGGTGGCGCAAGGCCTCCCAAGAAAGCGTATAGGCATATATCTTCTATTCGAGTTTGGCTATGAAAGATAGGGCTTCGCTGCGCTACTCTCCACAAGATGGCAATGTATCTTTCCATGTTCTAGCCAGTACCACTATGGGTGGTACTGGATTCATTCACATTTTTAACATTTGGAGAGCAGTGGGGCGAGGCCCATAGTGGTAGTGCACACGCATTTTATCACCATTTTAGGTCAGGGCCCTGAAAATAGGGGGTGGCTTGGCCATAAATAGGGGGTGGCTTGGCCATTTTAGGAATCGACGCCGGTCGAATCCTCTCCGCACGTCACGCCACCACACGTCTTTCTCTCCGCACCTGGCGCTTGCCCATAAATAGGGAGTGGCTTGGCCATAAATAGGCGGCACTAACCACCGCTTGTTCCTACCTCGTTCTGGGTGGTCCCCACACCGCGTTATGCTCATACCTGGTAGCATTACGCCTGGGGCACTGCGATTGTCCCGTTCCTGTCATATCTTCATTTTCCCACATCCATACACCACGCCATGGCCACACTTCTTGTGCACGCCCTTGCCTCACAGAGAGGCCCAAAACCGCCGCCCATCCCCACACCTTGTTTCCCCAGGACATCATAACTCCCTCCCTACCATCGTCACTGTTTTCTTCGTCAGGATCGTATGGAGGACTCAGGAGGAGCCCCTCCTCCATACATGCATGCTCACCATACTAACGAGTATTTTTTTGGCGGGAATCAGGCTATTGCTCTCCTCAAGTATTTTTTGGCGGGAATCAGGCTATTGCTCTCCTCAAGAGTCTTCTGCTCCGTGCTCAGTCCCCATCACCCATCGCCAATGGACCATCCCATCCCATCCCACATCAACCCCTTCTTCCCTCCTCCGCTTGCCACCACGACCACCCATCTAAGGGCCAGCTTTCTTTTCCCCTCGCCGTACCTTTGGCGCTACTCGTCAACATTCCTTTGGTTTTCTCTCTGTCTGGCACTATCCAATTTCCTCGTTTGGTCCTTTGGGGCATCCGTTTAAATTGGGACGATACAGAGAGAAGATCATTAGCATGACCCCTGCGCAAGGATGACACGCATAAATCGAGAAATGGTCCATATTAACAAGAAAAGAAAAAAAATCCGCGCTTGTAATAACAATACTAATAATTTTGGCCGTGGTAATTCCAATAGTAAATATAAAAATAATAACAATGGTAAAACGCAAACGCGGATTTTTTTTCTTTTCTTGTTAATATGGACCATTTCTCGATTTATGCGTGTCATCCTTGCGCAGGGGTCATGCTAATGATCTTCTCTGTGTATCGTCCCAATTTAAACGGATGTCCCAAAGGACCAAACGAGGAAATTGGATAGTGCCAGACAGAGAGAAAACCAAAGGGGAAAAAAAAATTAAAATAATTATCATAGTTACACTTTTGATCTAGCCGGGCCGCCGGGGTCACACTGTTTTCCCGGGCGCCCCGGTCGTGCAAGGACCAGGGAAGGTCCCAGGGAAAAAAAAAAAAAAAAACCGAAAAAAAAACTGTTGTGCAAAAATATAAACTGAACAACATCGACATTCTTTACCAGAATTAAAATAAAAAAATAACTCCTTTTTTTTTGTTGGGGGGGGGCCGGCCGGGCAAGTGGTCCAGGGCCACTCTGGTAGCCTAGCTCTTAATTATTTAACTTCGTCTTTATATTGTTTGTTACGGTAAATTATGTAAATCATCATACACAACGGCCGAAAAAGAACGGTCAATCGATTGACATCGAAGATCGATAGGTTGAACCTTGTTGTCCGTTTTATATATATTTTTTGGAACCCTCCAGAGATTATTTGGATAATTAATGGAAAAAGAGAAAGAATCGATAGAAGTTCGGACGCCGAATTGATCGGGGCGGACTCTAACGGACCATAGACGTGCCTGAACAGTCGTATAACACGTGCTCACACCGAGCCTCGAACGTTGGACACGTGTTCACTCCTTAAACCACCCCGTAAAGACTGGAGAGCTCTTTAGCTGCCCCCGATCTTCGGGTTTTTAATCAAACAAAGCGACACATCTTTTTACTCGCCAATTGTTGGACACGATCTGATGGTGACATCATATTCCACATCACGCACGCACGCACGCACAGACACAGAGAGAGAGAGAGAGAGAGAGAGAGAGAGAGAGAGAGAGAGAGAGAGAGAGAGGGAGGGAGAGAGAGAGAGAGAGAGAGA